TCCTCCTGGGGTTAGCAGCCTGCTTGGAGCATCCGCTTGGAGCATCAGCGAAGGTTGTCTATTTGAACAACAGCTCTTTGTCCTCAAGATGATCTGAGTTTTGATAGAGAAGCTAACAAGATGACAGATTAAAGTTTTAGATGATACTTCTGTGCAGGAGCACAGTGCAGGGGTGGAGGTTGGCGGAGACGATGACAAATGGGCTATCCCCTCTGGGCAGGACGCTCCAGGACTGCTCAGCTCTCCTGTCTTGCTTCTGCTACACCTGACACTGAACCTGGGACAGAAGCAGGTGTCCCCTTCTTCTAAGAGGCTTCACTTCCTCCCCATGTAGGACCTTGGGTTCATCATCCTGCCTCCCACTCTATTCTAGATCCCAACTACTGGGAAGAGGCATCTCAGAGCACGCACATTCTCAATAACTTTTAAAATTAAGCTCTTCATCCTCCCTCAATTTTGCTCCAACTTTAACCTGAACATGCCTCAGGAAGAGTTCATACACTCTTTATGTTTTTCTTTTTGTTTTGTTTTCTTTTTTTAATTTGAAAAGCCTGATTGGCCCACCACACAATAAGCTCTGAGAGGGAGCAGGGCTCATTTCTTCATTCCGGATAGAGCCCTGACTTCTGACCTCTCGACTGCATGGATAGATGAATAAAGCAATTCAATGAGATCCCTTGGAACATGTGGAGTTCTGAGGGGTTGTGAAGTTAGAGTTCCAGAGATAGGAAGTGATCTTACTTAAGGGCCCAAAGCTAGCGGAGGATTTCTAGCATATTGTCTATAAGTTGAGACCAGCTTTCTTATCAGAACTTCAATTTTAGGTTCTAGGGAGGAGAAGGGCTCTTTAATGTTGTGCTCCATGTCCTTGGGTTACTGGAGCTGGGCCAGTGCATGTTGCTGGGCAGCCACATTCCCTGGCACTCAGTCTCAGAGCCACCTTAAGAGGGTCCCTAGCTACTTACTTTCCTTCAGCAGGAGTGCTCAGGGCCAACTCTCACTTGAGACTGGTCAGAACAAAGCATCCCTTTTGCTTAATTTCTAGTTCGTATGAATGGTTGCCCAATCACAGGGTTGTGGCCATCTGAATACTTGACCTGTAGTGATGTCTCCTGAAGGTGGAAACCTGCCAGTGAGGACCAGGGGTGTCCCTGGCCACTCTTTGCAGGGCCTATCACCCACATGATCCAAATGTAACACCTCTCTTTGGGAAGCATGGGATGAGTTGGGTGGACTTAATTTTCTTCCTTACCTGGGCTTTCTGCAGCTGGTATTTACCCTTCCTCTCCTTCATTAATTACATTTGTCTTGTGGCATAGCATGTATTTGTAGATAAAAGAGTGAAATCCACTGCAGAGTGTGGGAAGGCATCAATAGGTAAAGTAATATTTTTGATTTCTGTTTAGGGTGACATGATGTACGTGAGTATGGCTGGCCCTGGCACATCTGATATATGTATCAGGCGATGATCAGCTGGAAAGAGAGCCATTAGGAATCGACAGAGACACAGTCACACACCTGGACGCCCATTGTTCCTTTCATCAGGCTGGCATTTTTATGGACTCGGGAATAGATAACAATCTTATGCAAAGGATGTCTGTCTGATATATTGGGAGAGTGGGTACACTATGAAGCATTGCACCATCTGATTTTACTTCCACGTGTATATAATATTTCATCCTTCTGGGATGACTTGGGTCTTATATGATGGTGTCCTAGAGGAGAAGCGATGTGATAAAGGATTATGTCATTTGCCTGGATTATTCAGATCTATTCATAACACCCCAATTCTCTGCTGTGTGGTAGAAAACTATATCTTCCAGATGTCTAGCCAGTTTGCATCTAGCTTGGTATAGTCAAGATGTGGATCTGGTGAAAGACTAGAGGATGGTAGGAAGCCATTGTCTTATTTTCCTTCCTTCCTTTGCCCTAGGTGACTTCAGTAATCTCTCCTCCCTGTAGCTGTGGCCTAACACCCTGCCTCTGTTGACTATATTATGTAAAAGGGAAATCTAATGTTCTTGACCTGTTGTATGGTCCTTACATTTAAGGCTCTGGTATCCCTGTCTAGGGACAGTCTTTCAGCCCTAGAGTTATAATAGTTTTCTGTTTTGCTAAGTGGTCTGATTCTCCATCACTTTGTACTGAGTGATTTTTCCTGAGGACTGTATTTATTCACCAAAGATAGAGGACAAAGAGATACTAAAGAAATGATCTCATCAAGTTCAACTAGGTGAACCAAAGAATTTATTGATGTTATTTACAGGAGCACAGAGATTTTTTTTCAAAGCATGAGTAACTTGCTTTTTCCTGTACAAAAGCCTCACCCAACATACATGCAAGGCATATCACTGCAGTTCCTCAACCCTTTCAAGCAACTACATTAAACAAGATTCTTCAAGTTGTTAAGTGCTTATTTATTCCCAGAGATTAACTTCCTGACTTTTGTAAGCTTAGTGAGGTCTGGGTCTTGTAAGTTTCTTGTAGGTATCATGAGCCTTGTGAGTTTTCCTCCACCCGCTATATGATATTTGGTTGTTTGACTTTTTTGTATTAAAGTTGTCTGGAGACGCTTGGAATAATAATTACAGGTTTCCAGTTTGGATGATGATTGGTATAATGATACATCATCACAAGAGTAGGTATGGAGCAGGTATGATTTCTCTTACCTTTTGTCTCTTAAAATTCCCCTTGCTCTCTTTCCCCAGTCTCTATTCTATAAGGTTCTTACTGTTGTAAGCTCTTCAGTGTCTGGGTCATTCACTTAGTGCCTCCTACGCCCACTCCTTACATTTATGGCTTCCATACAACCTTTTTTTTTTTTTTTGATGGTAGTTTGAATGAGAATGGCTCCACGAGTTAATGACTATGTCTACTTGTTTCCTGGTTAGTGGAATCATTTGGGAAGCATTAGGTGGTGTGGTCTTATTGACACAGGCATGCCCCTGGTGGTGGTGGTGGGGCAAGCGTTGAGGTTTCAAAAGACTCATACCATTCTCAGTATGCTGTCTGCTCCCATATGGGTTGAAATGTAAGCTCTCAGCTGTTCCTCCTGCTTTTCTTTACTCTGCCATGATGGAGCTAGCTCTCTCTCTCTTTACCATGTCGCCTACTTAGTTTATTCTCTTCATCTCTCTATTGTAAGAAGTTCAGCCTCATCCACCCCAAGATCCAGATTGAAAACATGTTCTTTTGCTACCTTATCCACTTCATCCTAGCTTAGACTCTGTCATCTTCATCTTAGACCATTACAGTGCGGTGCTGTCATTGTGGTTTTATTCTCTTCCTCTTTCCAGGCACTCTTCACTAGATATGAGCATATCAACCCTTAAAGCTTGAGCGGCCTCTCATGGTTTACAGAGGTTCTGGACATTGAGCCTTCTTGGTGTTGATTCTGGAGGACATGAGTCACTCTCACTTGACAGTAGCTTGTAGCCCCAGTCAGTCACTCCCACCTGCTAACCCTTAGAATTTGCTGTCCTTTGCTTTTGTGTGTCAATCAGCTAGCTTTCAGGAACATTAAGACATCTCAGAGGTATGCTGTTGAACAAAATGAGGATTGGTGGCCATGATACAGTGTGGTTTAGCTATGCAACTTGGGGAGGGGAAAGGCAGAGAAGAGAGCTCCTTTCAGGTATGGGAGCAGGGATGGATCACCATGGGGTGTCAATCACTTAGGACTACTGCAAAGACTCTCAGAAGACAAATTATTACTTCAAGGTTCGCACCTTGTGGTTGCTAATTTTATGTCAGCTTGACACAGACTAGAGTCATCTGAAAGGAGGGAACTCTAGTGGAGAAAATGCCTCTATAAGTTTAGGCTGTAGGCAAGCATGTAGAGCATTTTCTTAATTAGTGATTGAAGGGGGAGGGCCCAGCCCATTGTGGATGGGGTCATCCCTGGCCTGATGGTCCTGAGTTCTATAAGAAAGCAGGCTGAACAAGCCACGGAGGCCGGGGGATGGGGGTGGGGTGGGGGAGAGGCAAGCCAGCAAACATGGCCTCTGCACCAGTTCCTGTTTCCAGGTTCTCATCCTGTTTGAGTTCTTGTCCAGAATTCCTCCAGTGACAGTCTATGGATGTGGGAATGTAAACCAAACAAATCCTTTCCTCCCCAACTGGCTTTTGGTCATGGTGTTTTGATATAGCCATAGTAACCCATACTAAGACACACCTTTAACAAAATGACAAGTCTTGAAAAACTGAAAATTCCCTTTGATATATATTACAATAGAGAATGCAGAACAAGACACGCAGCCATTTCTTTAACATTTGTTTTTAGCTTTTTTTTTTCTCCCCTAGAAATCACTGAATGGAAATTTACAAATCTTTTCCTGGACCGTGGAGATAGAAAAATGAGGAGCACATGAAATAAGCTTCCAGGCTATGGAGTGACAACAGAGCCCCCGTGTTTCCAACTGTTCAAACAGATAAGTCAGGGAGACTCCTGTAATCAGGCTTCCTGTGCCTGAGTTTTAAGTTCATCTTCTTCTTCAAAAACTATGGCCAAAGAACCACCAACCCAGTCACTCATGCACACAAACTGAGCTATTGTTTTGTTAAGGTCTTCGTAAAATACAGATGCAAGATAGGTATTCCAAAAGTACAATATACAGAATTGTTGTTGTTGTGCGTGCATGCGTGTGTGCGCGCATGCGTGCATTCTGATCTCTTCCCTGGATCCCATGACAGGTTGGAATAGGAGCTGTGCAGAAGCAAAGAAAAGACCCATCCTTTGCCATCAAGGCCTTGCCCTAAAATGTGGAGAGAAGCAGATTTAAACAAAACATACAAGACAGTAAGATGGTAATGTGAGCTGTCAATCAGTCGAGGCTCTAGGTGGTTTAAAAGTAAAATAAGAAATGGGGGTTCAAGTTACAGCCTGGCAGTTTGTGGAGGTATCATGCCTACATGTTCACAGATGCGAGGATTACAGAAATGCAATCTGGTTCTTTGCCTGGTAAGAGCATGCTGTTTCAAGAACAAGAAAAATTAGAGTTCCTTGAAGATAGCTTGTTTATTTCACAATTTAAAAATATAGTCTTATTGTAGAAAATTAAGGAAATACATTTTAAATAAGGACATTTTGAAATTTGCATTAAGAGATTAAAAAAAAATCACCCATACCCTATATCACTCAGAAATAATCCTAAAGATATTTCAGAGGTTTTTTTCTGTGCATAATTTTACATAATTCAATTCACACCACATATACAATTTATATCCTGGTGCTTTCTACTTGGCACCATCACATAAGTATTCTCCCAGGTTATTAAAAGCTTCTCATAAGCATGGCCTTTAATGGCTGCATAATATTTCAATATGTGAGATACCATGATTTATTGGGACAGTTTGTTTTTCATCAAATACATTAGTGTTTCCGAGCTTTTTTCCACCATTGTAAATGATCCAGGAGTAAAACTGTTGTATCTCATTTTATGTCTCTAGGATACAGATTTAAAAGTAGTATCAAAGAAAAGCCAAACTGCTTTCCAAGAGGAATCCATCAATTTATATTCCTGCGTACAGCTTTCCAGAACATTCTCCACTACCATTTTCCTAACAGGTGCAGCGAGAACACAGCAAACAGCATTTATTTAAAGTGTACAGTGTTCTCACTTTTGACATCATACACACCCCAAAAGCCATAATCACAATAAAGACAATGAACAAATTCATCACCTTCTAAATTTCCACATCCTTTCTTTTTGTGATCCTTCTTTGCTGTCTTCTTTCATGTTGCTCCCTGCCACAGAGACAAACATTGATCTGCTGTCTCTCATTATGAATTAGCTGGTACTCCCCTAGGGAGAAACTTACACACACACACACACACACACACACACACAAACACACACACACACATACACACACACATCAAAATATACAGAATATGTTTCTTTTTGTCTGGCATCTTTTACCTGGAATGGTAATTTTGAGATCCATCCGTCAATGCCTAGACACACTGCTCATTTTAAGTGGTGAATAGTATTCCCCTATAGAGACGTATGATGTTAGTTGATGGACACTTGAGTTGCTGCTAGGTTTTATTGTTGTTGTTTTGTTATTAACCCAGATTAAAGTTGCTGTAAATACCAGGGTAGCAGGCTTCAGTAGACATGTGGTTTATTTCCTCAGGTAGATTCTTAGGCCTGGAATAGGTGTGTTGAATGGTAGCTGTATGTAAACTGACTGGAGTCTTTTGTTTTGTCAGTGATTCCCTCTTATGGTGAAGCATGGATGTATTAGTATCAGTGTTGATGTGAATTAATAATTTAATCAAACAATTCACAATTTCTCTTTTCTAAGAGAAGAATTAGAGTGGGCTCTGGAGACTGCCACATATCTGTTGGGAGTCAGAAAGGGGCTCACAGGGGCTTCTTCAATTTGTGTTCCACGAAACTGATCTGTAGCCCAGGCTCTACCTCAGATACTCCCAGATCTCTTCTCAGTTTCCCTCCGAAGAGCAGATGTAGGTCTTTTTTGGTCTTTGGTTTGATCGCTCTGGTTGGATTCTACTTCCTAATTATAGTACTCCATAGTGAAAAGATCTGGTCTTTCTCTGCCTCTCACACTGCTGCCTTCTCCCTGCTATTCCTTGTGGCCTCGGTGAGATGAGGAGAGGAGTGGCAGTGGGCGGGGAAAAGTGAGGATCTCTCACATAGGATGTGTCTTGGGGGCCCTGTAGCCCAGCATTTGTGGCTACTCAGGGAAAGAATCACCTTTCTGTAATGTTCTCTGAGTCTCCTGACAGGAGTTATTCATCGTCTTAACTGGGGTTTCTGCTATAAAGATGTCTGTCCTTTGGCAGTTTTACACTTGGTGCCGTGGCCATGCCAAGGGACCATGGCCATGGTTCTGTACTTCTCAGTCAGTGCAGTTCATCAAAATTTTGAGGGAATTTTTTGTCCAGTTACTAGTCCAAGTACTACAGTAGGACCTTGTCCTTGAGATCCCTGAACACAGTATTTGGCACACAGTAGGAGCTTAGCATATGTTAGAGTGAACAAGTGGACAGACACAGTAGTACTGCCAGTGGGCTTAGATGACATCACTGGGGGAGCTCTGTAAGCCACATTTCTTATGCTTGCCTCATCTGAGGGCAGAGCTCCCCCAATTTTCTTGATTGATAGTACCCTGTTTATTTCTATATAGTTTTTATAATGTCCCTAGAGATATCCTCAAAAATACTCAATAATTCTGTCTATCAAATAGGTCATTTTAAGAGATATAATACATATTTATGTTCTAACATAAGTCAAACTAACCCTACTACGATGCTATGAAACATCCAGTACCACAGGGTCAGGGTGACACTGATTCTTTCAGCTCACTGCTGTTCCAGGGGTCTGTCTCTCCAGGAAGTGCCTTCCAGGACCTGCCAGGGCAGCAGGTCAGTGGGATGTGTAGGGAATGGTCATCAGCAATGCAGGTATCAGTGAAGATGTCCAAAGTCTTCACTCAAGAGAGTCAGAGATGAGGACAGGCAGGGCTGGAACATGGTACCAACATATGTTGTCCAACCTACAATCAAGGGAAGTCTTTGGATGGAAGCAGCACTGCAGCCAGCTTGGTCTGAGGTGTGAGCTGGAAAGAGATGGAGGAAGTTAGTTAATGAGTGTTCCTGCCATTGTGCCTCAGGATCTGGTGGGAGCCAACCAATACAAGGCCCTCAGGGGGAGGCTGTGGAGTTGGACAAAAATCTACATTTCCTGGACTTAGAAGAAATGAGAACCCATGTGCTCTTGGGGGCTAATCATGTGTCTTCTAGGAACTGTGCAACCCAAAGCTATTTTAAAACAACATTTTTTGGTCTTTGAAACTTCCAAACAATACATATCAGTCCTATCCATCTGCACATTATCTCCCTGCAAGTCTCTGCAATGACCTACACTTCGTCTCTCTCTCAGTTGTGTGTCTTTTATTTATTTTTGTTATTAATAACTGACTGAGTCCAATTAGTAGTCTTGACATGCATGTGTGTATACATATGGCCATCTGCTAGGGCATGGACAATCTACCTGCAGCCACATCCTCAAAGGAAAGCAACTCTCCCCCCTTCAGCAGCCTTCAACTACCAATATCTCTGCAGACAGGGGTAGAGCCTTGAGGACCCATCCCTACCCATGCTGGAATGTCGACAGGCCTGATTTTGTACAGGTCTTATTTAGGTAACCCTAGTAACTGGGTGCATTGGAAATCTGGTCAAAAAAGCCTTCGCTAGGGAGGATGTGGGTCCTGGTATGTGTATGTGTGTGGAGCGGAGGTAGCAGCGCTTCCTGTTGCTGTTTTGCTGAATGATCCTGCTGTCCAACTGTATTCTAAATATTTCTGTATATAGTCTATATTTTGCTGCTCTCCACCTTGGTGGGAGAAGCCTCTCTTTTTTGCAGTAGGTAGAGGCTAATGCAGAAACGCAAAGGTCCAAGTACCAAGTATAAATAACTCTGAGTGGCCAGCTGTCAACGGCATTAACCTCTCAGGAAAATTTTGGAGTTTCCTGAATCCAAAATTCAGGAAAATCCAAGTAAGAGGGGGGAGGGGCTGAGAAGCATGCAAGGGCCAGTGTCTGAGGGGAGAGCTGTGCCAGGCTGACTTTGGGACATGACATGGCTGTCGGATGGTTCGACGCACAGCAACTGGGATGACACGTGTAAGACCTCCTCAAGACCAAGATCCTTCAAAATATTCCTTCGTGTGATGTGTGCGTGTAAGATGTGCTTATCTATGTTGTATGTGCAGGTGCTGGTGTCTGTATGTCATGCCACGTGTCTAGCGATCAGACATCCGTCTTTAGGAGCTGCCTGTTGCCTCCCACCTTGCTGAGGCAGGGGCTCACTTATTTCTGCTCCTTTGCTGCATCCCCCACTTGAGCTGACTTGCCATCTTCAGGGCAGGTTTCTCATCTCTGCCTCCCATCTTGCCTTTGGAATGCTGGGATTACAGATCCATGCTTCTACATTGCAACCAGGTTCTTCCCCTCACCCCCAAGACAGGACAGCCCTGAACTCTCCTGGAACTCACTCTGAGCAGACTGGTCTCGAACCCATAGAAGTCTGCCTGCCTCTGCCTCCGAAGTGCTGGGATTAAAGGCATGTGCCAACACTGCCCAGCAGATATTCGGTTTTTAAAATCATAGGTTCCAGGCTCTAAACTCAGGTCCCCAGGCTTTACAGGAAGCATTTTTACCTACAGAACCATCTCCCTGACCCTCAAATGGTTTTTGTGATGATTTTATTTAGCTTTTCTCCTTTAACTTCTGTTTAAACAAAGGGGAGAGACATTTCCCTGGTGATGTGCAGTGCTGTTTCCAGGAGTTTCAGTTTTATCCACAACCCACACTGCAGGCTCACGGCAGTTGGTTGCCTCATGTCTTTTCAGTGGAGAGTGACCTGCTTTGTCCTTCAGAACAGCAGGTTGATGAATGCCATCTGATGTCTCTCCCAGCCCCCATTCATTTTGATAGCAGGCTTCAGACACAATCACTGTGGTTGATATTTTACATTGGGAGCCTTTTTTTTTTTTTCAGTGATTTCTTTAATGTGCCTTTGATTTTTGTGCCACCTTCTCGTGGTCCCCAGAAAGTTTACAGTGTCATTTGGGAAAGAAAATGCTTTCCTGAAATTCTGTTCAAAGGCTGTTTAAACGAATTAATCAAAGGTTCTATCACTTCTCAGGTTTGGTCGCAGGCAATGCTTCTGCAAGTGAAAGACTAGCATTGATTGATTTCTTGACAAGAGGCCCGTCAGGGCCAACTTCTCTTCCCCGTATACAAGGCAATCTCACTTGCATTGTGCGTCTGAGAGAACCATGGGTCCTGAGCAATCCTGGAGATAGATGGCAGTTTGTCTCCACTCTTGGGTATTTCTTCTATGTGTGCTGAAGGGTGGAGATGATATCTCTGCATCTTGGGCCTCAGGGTCACAGTCTTAGAGCTTCTCATCTGGGAGGCAGAGGGAGATAGCTGTGAGTAAATGTCAGGGCCCTATGTGGAGCTGAGGTGGGGCAGCCACTTCTGTCATGGCAGAGGACAGACCCTGTCTGGTTGCAGACTTCAAGGATGACCAAGTGCTTTTGAGTGCTAGGGTCTTTGCTTCTTTCTGTTACAGGATTTGCCCCACTGTTATGCATGTTTCCAGCATCTTTTGCAGCTCTCTGGCACCTTCAGAGGGCTTTGGAATCATCCTGACATCTATGTGCTACAGACACCTTCTGAGGCATCCCCCACCTCTGCGCTTGCCACTCACCAAGCCTATACCTTCCTTACCAATTCCTCTCCTTCAAAATAAGCTTTGTGTGTGTGTGTGTGTGTAACATGGTTTGATGATTAGCTCAGTGAGGTCATGTGCCTCTGTCTGTGTGCTCTCTATCAACACTGGATACTATGGTGTCAGGGTTCTAGACTATTGTCACTGGGAAATTAAAAGAAATATCAGAAGAGGAAACTGCCTGGGAATGCAGATGTGAGTAACTGTATGGGGGTTAGAGGACGGCTGCAGCTTGCTAAGGTATGCTAGATAAATTGCTGCCATCCCTGGCCCAGGACCTCATGGGGCTGGCTCCAGGCTGATGTTCCTGAACAGCTCCCTAGGTAATGGCAGAAATCAGGGTCCACGTGAAAGGTAAAGGATGACAGATGAAGGCTTGATCCTGAGATCAGGCCACTCCTGGGTGAATGGAGAACTCTTCCTAGCTTCTGATTTCTACCCTGGCCACAGTGACCTTATTTTTAAAAATTCATACCTCTTAAATACTATATAGTCACATATGAAATTCTCAAAAATACAACATTTAAAATACCCCCTCTCACACACGTACTAGGCTGTGATCTCTCCAGTTAATTTCACTTCCATAGTCTTTCCTGTGGATTAAGGTCAGTGCGCAGTTGCCTGAGTAATGGATGCTACCATCCTCCAGCTGCCCCTCAGCAACACTGGGCTGAGTGTTTGAGGCTGTCTGCATGTTTGTCTTTTGGAAGAAGCTGTGGGTGTTCAGCTTATGGTTTACAAGGATAATATCCATGTATTCTGGGATCCTCACTCTTTTCTCTGTGATTTGTTTCCATGGTGGTGTTGCCTTTTTCCCTCTCCCCCTCCCCTACTCTCCAGAAAAGCTGTTTTGTTATTATATGTGGTTGCCAATTTATTCTTTTTCCGAAAATTACAACTTCCAGTTTCCTAGAAGTAAAATATTCCAATTGTGTGTTGGGTGTTTGGAAGTCACAGCAAACAGTTATTTTAAAAGATGAAAAAACTCCATGTTTTTACATATCTACACTAATATTACACATGAGGTTGTATAGATAAAGAACCACCAGTTTGTCAGGAGGCCAGTGCAGCAAATGATCCTGTCAGTTCTACTGTAGGAAAGACAACCACACATGATGATGATACATAGGTCACATAGTCTCATATATGGGATCTTTGAAAGTGCAGATTGAAGGTAGGATAAGGTGTTTGGTAACATAAGATGCATACTGTGTGGCCCTTGGCAATTAATATAATCCCCTTCCTTAAAGTAGGAAGTCATTTTGCTTTGTTGTAAGGACAAGCATAAGTATGTATATAGTATACATGTGTGATATGTGTGGCTAGCAGCAAGCATATTTTTAATTTGACATGCAAAAAAATTGTCATTGGACATTTGGCTTAAAAATGGTTAAGACTCCTGAATGAGACCCTCCACTTAGATGATGTGTCTTCCCTTATGTCTTGTAGAACCTTGGCAAATTCAGTACTCAAAAGCTGCAAAGTAAATCTAGAAGCCAGAATTAGTGAGAATTCTACAATTCCAAGGATGGGGCTCCCCTGCATTAGTAGAACAATAGGAGCCAATAGGTAGCCGAGGATGTCCTCAGATTTCTTCTTCAGTCCCTTTCATGTATCCCTAAGTTTTGAGATGTAATTGATTGGGGACCCTTGGCATTAATGTTACAAGTCTTACGGCCACTGTCTTCTGACAGCTTTGATAGCTAGCTAACTTATTTCCCCTGTTCTATAAGATGAAGTTACAATGTAACTTTTTTTCATATCAAAAGTGTCTCCTCACCTAATTTATTTGTTGGAAAGAAATCTTAGTGTGACAGTCATAGGGGACAGTGCTGAATGGGAGATGCTTCTTTCAGTTATAATGAATTGATGCTGCTATCAAAAGGGCTTGTGGGAATGGGTTTGTTCCCCTCTGCTCTTCTGTCATGACAGGCTGCAGTGTCTGTTCCCTTTGGATGCCTTTCTGTCTTCTTTCCTGGAAGGAAGCAGCGAAGGCCCCGTAACAGATGCAAGATGCCACTGCCCCCACTGTGGATTTCTCGGTCTCCAGACCTGAAACATCAATCTCTCTTCTTTAGAAACGATCCAGTGTATGGTGTTCTGTTGTAGTGGCACAAATGGAGTAAGACAATGACTTTGTGTTCTGGTTGGTTTGGATCTTGAAGTATTCCAGAAACTTAATACGTAGAATATATTGCTTCATAAAATAAGGGGGGGAGATATAAAAAGAAATTAAATATACTTTAAGAAGCTCAAATAAAATTATTGACATTTTCATTTATATTCATGTTGGTAAGTCTGTTCTCCAGCAACTGCAAAAGACATAAAGCCTTTTTATTTGTTCATAACTTTGAGCCATAAAAGGCATCATTATTAACACCTTTTCCTCATATGGTTGCATAGACTTCAAGTATAAGAGCTCGGGAATGGAAAATGAGCATATTGGTAACTCCACGAACTGTGTAGGACATTCCAGATAATGTCTTTTTATTCCTCTATCTTCATGTGCATCATTACTTCATCCGAGACTCCAAGCAAGCCTTGAACTGAATACTAAGCAATGAGAAGTCGTATGAGAGGCCTAACATCACCACCTAACTTGTCAAGGCTTCTCCTCAAAGCAAAGGCTGTACACTGTCAGTCCCTGCTACCTAGTTCGTTTCACCCTCCCTCTTACTGCAAGTCTCACTGCCCCACCCTAGAACAGGCCTTAGTTCCTGGGAAGGCTTTATTTTTCTTCTATTTGGTTTTCTTCCTCAGTACCTCTGTTCTCTCAGTACTTCCCTTTGTATTCCCTTTCCATGGCTACCTGACTTTTTCTTGAGTAGTCAAGCCATTGCAAGATGTTATCTTCCCAGGCTTTCTGTTATCAACCCTGTGAACCATCATCCCCTCCCTCTTCAGGTCAGGCCTTCTGGCTGCTTTCCAGGTCTTGGCAGCCCTCTAAGCTCCAACCTAACTGTGGGCTTTGCCTGCTCTCCTGAGCTCTTGCTTTGTGAGTGCAGGGTATTCACTGCAATAATCCCCACCACTCCTAGAGGTGTATCTGGTCTTCTTTTAAATGCGAATTTCCTAAAGAAACCATCACTAGCTCCTCTTGAGCCCTTTGAACTCTTTATCCGATGAAGCCACTGACAGCACAGTATCAACAGACTCTGTGGCTCTGTAGACTGCCCCTTCCACCCTTATTGGTGCCTGTGAGCAACCTGAAGGCAGAGACCATCTGAGAGAGTGAGAGAAAGGATAGCTTTGGAATCAGATCCTCTGGGTTCCAGTCCCTCTTTTCCCCTTATCACAACTGGAGGGACTTGAGCCAGTCACAAATCATTGTGAAAATGTCCTGGTAGACTTAAAAGGTAATGCTAGTATCATCTGTGAGAAGCTCTGGCTGCTGTTTGCACTGTGGAATGACCTGGGCATCCGCATTCTGAAAGCTCTTCAGAGATTCTAAAATGCAACAGCCTCAGAGCCATCTATTTCCTGATTCTGAGAAAGTGGGTGAAATTCACTACAGAATAAAATGCCTCCCACCCAGGGTTCCTAGAGTGTGTGAGCTGGAGTGCAGTGTAGCACACCCACTATGCTGCTAATAAATGCTGTTATTCAGCATGATAATTATTCAATTTTATAACTGTCACAACATCTACCATCATGTCCTAGATGGAGGAAGAGCCCACAGTCTAGTGCTAAAATATTAAACACAAAACGCTTATGCTTTGGTGACAGAAATTGACCTGTAGTAAACTCACAGAGACTTGTAAAGATTTCATGGGATTATCTTCAAACCTTCATAGCTTGGCTTTTCACTGAGGGCTTGTGTCTGTTCTAGGGCTTGTCACTTGAGCACACTTGCTTTGTTCACGAAGGACTCCCCAGCCTTGGTAGTCTCCTGCAGAATTTCTACCTGAGGCTGCTACTTTCAATCTTACTTGGAAAGAGCTGACTAGGCGCTGATGGTGTTGTTTCTAAGGGCAACCATGACCTATCTCAGGTCTCAAGTGATGATGGGCCAGTGGCCAGACGAGGATGCACCCTTTAGAAATAGCTCTTAAATGCAATTATGAGATTCCATTTCCAGAGATGAGACCCATTGTGCACCTGCCCTTTGCCCCATGTCAATGCATTGCCCAATGTTATGGAGGGTTGATGGCCTTTGAAAGAGTTGGATAGGCAACATTTCTTTTAATGGCCAGCTTTTGCCTTCAGGAAATCAATCAAAGGAAAGATCATGGTTTTAGCATCAGGCTTTCTTCTTTGCATTCATTTGCTCTTTCCAAGATAGAATATCTATTAGTTGTCATCATTCCTGGTGACAGAGAAAAAGACTGACCACCGATGATGGGGGGGGGGGGTGTCTTGGTACCATTAAGTGAAATGCTTGCGGAATAAATACTATCTCTGATTATGAGAGATATTTAAGAGCTTTAGTGCACTGTAGGGCTAGAGAGAAATGAGCTGAGAAGCATCATAAAAGTGCAGTCAATTATTTTAAAGATGAATTGGCATCTTTTAATTCCTCACCAGATAATGAAATATCTATCTGAGCCTGGGGCTGTTGTATCATTTCTGGTATATTCAACAAAATTTATTCAACAGTCACTTATTGAGTGCCCTTCTGTGTTAGGCCCTGGGCTCATGGTTATGGGTACAGAAAGGAGTGGGTAAAAGAAAGGATGGGCAACAGTGCCCACAGACTGGTGTAGATTTGGCTTGAGCAAGGCTTCATAGGTTGGGAGAACTCTCAAGACAGGGATTCACATCCAGGTGAACAGGGTTCACTAAGGATGGTAGAACTTTCTGGATGGGCAGTCAGATGACCTAGATTCTGAGCCAATGCATGGCTATAAGTCAGACCAGGTCCAAGTCACAATTACACAGGGCTGGATGAGACCAGCTTTTCTGGATCAGCAGGCAACAAAGTGAGACAAGAGACACCAATTCTCCCTAAAGCCTGCCATATGACATCAGCAATCTTGTCTCATTACAAAATGTAGTTGCTACTGGTCTCTGCATCCCTGACTATAGGTGCTAAGGAGGGTCAGAAAGGCTCCAGGTCTGCAGAGCTTCCTTGGAAGGACAGGTTTGAGGGAGCCTGGGAGATGAGGTTGTGGTTTGGTGTGTCTTCCTTTGCTCTTCTTTCTTTCCTCCTAGCAGCCCTGGGCTCCTCTGCCCCTCCCCCAGGCTGCAGCAGAGGCTGCTGCTTTTAGTGAATAATGATAGTGTTATGAGCATCTCTCTTGAGGGCCTGAGTCCTCTGTATATTCTGAGTCTAGTAGAGAGGAGAGGTTAGGGCCTCGGAACCAGCTCTGTCATACTACCCTGCTTCTTCATGGTTTTCTTTTCCTCGTCGGCAATATGAGGGTATCTGAGATAGTTAAGAGCTTATTAGAGTGCACAAGACCATCTAAGCAAGCCAGCACTTAGCAAATAATAATCAGCAGCAGTGGCTTTTCTATAGTATGTAAAGTACTTCCCACACCTATTGGCTTGCTGGTGGAGAATGCTGGAGTGTGGGGACCACAGTCTTTATAAGTGGGTTTTCTTAGTTTTTAAGTGTGTGACTTGAGGAATGAAAAGTATCAGAATTGGCCTTCTAGTACTTTTCCTTAGGGCCTGGTAAGATTTTTCTTTTTCTACACACCACTCTGCATAGTTAGAAATTAATTGCTCTTTTACTCTATCTAGAAAAAACAGAACAAAGAAGGATTCCTGCAGAGTTTTATGAGTGAGGTGTGGGATGACAAGGTTGTTTAGCAGGCTAGTGAAAAGGGAAACTGACTCATTTCATTGCTTGCTATGAGCTGTGCTCTGAAGGCTTCCGAGGGGATGGATAGGGCAAGATCTAGAAGCCAAGCACTCTTGATTCCAAGGCTCTAGCCTAGTGTGTGTCCTGACAGTAGTGGTCAGCCACATGCTAGCCAACATTGCCCTTCATTACTGAAGAACATGTCTCTGTAACTAGCTAGGTGATAAGGGAATTACATGGCTGAGAAGCAAGGTGGGTGCCTACTCTTTCCAAGGACTGCGATCCAGCTACAGCTGCATTAGTGGTCAACTCAGATTAGTTGAGAGAACCTAGAAACTTAGTCAAGGCCAAGAGGGTTCATCTCAGAGTATGGCTTTAACAGGTGGGTCTGTCTAATTTTAAAGGAAAGGATGAAGGACAGGGTGAAGGGGAAAAAAAAGACTTGTTCCCAGGAGGAAGGAGATTCCAGCTGGCTTGCTACCCGATGTTGGATGGAGGGCAGAGAACAGCTAGGAAATGGGGTTCTGGGCCCTCCTGCATGAGCAAGAATGGTACTTTGGGAAACTGATATGCCCAACCTAAAAAAAAATGATGGCTGAGATATGACGGTTAAGGTCAAATGCAAAGGTGAGTGGTCTTGGGTTAGAACTTGTGGACTTGATATAAAAACACCTGGGTTGTTCATAATATCCTACTTTTTGTTTTCTGTCTCAACTTGAGAACTTTGCAAGATTATTCAAGGTTAGGGTGTTGTTTGGTCTAGAGGAAGTGACTTCCATGTAAACCTTCTAGGAAGATCTTGACAATGGCAAGATGAAATGACAGGCTGTAAGATCTAGGGAATAGGACCTATGGGTGGAAATCTAAAATCTCTTGTTGTTTGTGCTCAACTAAAACATATCCATACCTTACGCTAGGACGGGCACCCTCTGTCTGCAGCTCTGCTTACATCAGGATGGGATCTTTACTATGCCACTGGACATTACTCCAGAGAGTTTGGACCATCTTGGTCACTTGGCTACTTGCCAAGGCTCCTCAAAAAAAGAGGAGAGGCGACATGGAAGGGCAACACCCTTCCTCAGGGAGCCCAGTGAGATTTACAGTCCTTAAAACTTGTGCCAAACCAAGAGAATTGAAATTGGATCAGAAGGCTTTTAACCAATTCCTCAGTCTAAGTAAATCCCTGTTAAGAGGTAGAAATGAGCTCTCATGGGGATAATAGCCACAGGAAAACAAGTACAGTAGCATCTTCTGTTTCCAAATTAGATACAAAATCAATGTCTGTTTTCCTGCTAAACAGCTGAATATCTTGTGTTATAATTTATCCTGGACAGTGAGGCCTAAGGGGTGTTACCATACTGTAGCCTCTAGCCCTGTGCAGCTGCCTAGGCTGATCTTTTTAGTTAAAAAAATATTGTGCATGTGCGCGTGTGTGCACATGCAGATTATGTATGTGATTTCTTTCAGAGGCCAGAAAAGGGTGTCAGATCACCTGAAGCTGGAGCTATAGGTGATTGAAAGCTGATAGGAATTCTGGGAATTTAACTTGGATTCCCCGGGAAGATCTGCATGCTCTTTACTGCTGAGCCATCTATCAGCCCCTATGGATGTTCCTTTTACAGTGGCAAGCTCTGGGCACTGTCCTGTCAGCTGGCAGCAGTATGGTGGATAGTGCAGAGATCACAAGAAAGAGAATCTAGAGATGCTACCTGACTTTGGGCAGCATACTCATGTGCGTTACCTGTTGTCAGAAAGCATCCGTTGCATGCCTCTTAGCAGGACAGGAACCTGGGACTCCAAGTGGAGAAATGCATTCTGAAATACTTTACAGCTGGGTATATTGACTAGGTGTGTATATGTCCACCATGGCTGTTGCTGTGAGGCCTGTAACTTCCTGGAACTGTGATAAGGGGTGACTTGAGCAACCTGTGGGTGTTGGCCAAACAGCACCTTCAGCAAAGGGAGTCTCTAGCAGGGATTGGGTAAGTCCTGTCCCTCAGGCCCAGGACAGGGAAGCAGGGACTGTGAGCCTTGGTTTTGTCTGTGCTCTCAGGGCAGAGAATATCTCTCAAGGGCTTACTGTCTCCCTAGTGTAGGGTAGAATAGGTAGTTAAAGTAATGGTGTGGATATTGTTGTTCCTGATAAATAAATGGAAAGCATGGAATAGAACTGTGATTGAAGTTAATCAAGTTAATATGAACCAAGGAGCAAAATAAATCCCAGTCCTAATGGAAGACCTGTGGTCCTGATCCTTAGACACATGGTAGAACAGAAAGTAGACATTTTGGGCTTTGAAAATTAACTTCACGAAGACTAGGAGCTGGAATCACTCCCGTGTGGCCCACCATGGAGATCCAGTTGACACGGTAGGACTCTCAAGTGTCTCTTCAGTGAATGGGCAAGTGCCTTCCTGTGACCTTTCTGCAGAGAATGTCTTAATGTTCTGCATAGAGATTCTTGAGCAGCTGCTGAATCATGGCTATGGTCAACACAACAGCCGCCTCAGTCTGAGAGCTCCCATGACCACAAGCCTTCATGATGAGTTCTCACAGCATCCCTGAGTTCTGTGGAGGGCCTCTGACTCCTTACTTCATGACATTCCTTTAAGTTACTTACAGGGGATGGGTCCTAGGATAAGAAATGGAGGCTTGAAGTAACATTAA